GGGAGCCTGAACTAACATGTCTGTATCGGCAAAGTAACTCATGGGCGTGGAAGTTTAAATTCAATTTAAAAACATGTGCAATATTTTGTGAATATCGATAGAATAGGAATTTGTTTAACAAAAGCACTTATAAGAACACACAAATATTTTTGATATGTATTAATGAGCAACGTTCTATTAATGAATTTTCAATAATCGTTTTGTCATACTGCATATTGCACAATGTTTTCTGGTCACCAGTTATAAAGGAATAGATTACTTTTGGGTAAAAATGAGGCACTGACGTTGATTTGGTGACACTAAAGTGTTTGTATTAATTGTGTATTTATTGTGGAAAATGAATAAAAATACTTTGAAATCAAAAACATGTGCACTACAGGAGCAATGAAGGGCACATTTTGTGTTGGTGCAGGGCAACTCTGCAGGAGAAGAGGGGGCAATGTATGAAAACCTGTGATGTTCTAAAGTTGGCATTGTGCTCAAGACAGCTATTCACTTAAAACCCGAGCACACCTCATGGATGAGTAATTCAATGTTTTATTAGAATTGTATAGGCATTGATTTGGAAATTCGGAATGTCTGAGATGTGTTCTGAAAACGTCTACACTGAAATGCCACTTAAATGTGAGCTTTCATTTACATTGTTTCTAATTGAATTTTTTTTTAGCATGGAAGCAGGAGAGAAAAACAAATCGCTTCCTTGTTAAAGCTTCGGATTAGCTTTCATGTGTATTGCCCATATAGATGGATCCAACACTGCTTCTGCTAATATCCTGCAGATCTAACCATCATAGTATAATGAGCCCCCCCCCCCCTTCTTAATCTGCTTGAGCAATGCTCTAAAATTCCCGAATCGTATACAAATAGTACGCAGTTTCCTCATGACCACATATGGCAACTTCCCCTCAGTCACTCCCACAGCACGTTAGTCAGCTCCGCGCCATTTCACAATCCTGCTGTCTGGTTCTTCCCCACCCTCAGGGCATCAACGCCATTTTAGCCTCACATTTTAAACACAGACTCTTAGCATTTCATCTCACAGATTAACCCCCCCCCTGTCTTTTGCATTTGTTTCCTGATTCAACATTTGGTATTTAAGAACGCATTGAGGGGATAAGGATGGAAGGGCAGCAAACATCTAAAAATAACCCTTACACATGGAGGAGACATTTGCTGTACTGTAAGGGGAGATACTCAGGAGGAATAGAAAGCCAACAGCTGTTACAGCTAATAGGTGGAATTTCCCTTGAGAACATACACAATTATTGTAAAGACGAGGCACAAACAGCCCCCAGCCTACTGGGAGCCACACAAAGAGCCAGAAAGCCTTGTACTCCCTATTGCTACATGAACATGAAGGACTGGTGTACATTACACACAAGGGGACAGAACACTCATAAAATTCCTAGACCTGAATCCTCCCAGTAATTATCTCCCACACTCCATGGCTCTTCAGATTGCCAGCTTTCACAGGCAGGGCCTTCCTTGTCCTCTTGTAACTAATGTCTTCTTTATATTGTAAAGCACTGATAACATATACTTCATAAACCCCCCATGAGCTGAATGAGAGCAGTCAATTGTCCCATCCACATTAAAAAGCATGGATGGAGGCATTTCCCTTATCTTGTGTATTCAGACAGCCAGCATCTGTCCAGCCTTTTGTCAGATCGGACCCGGCCTGCCCGGGCATTGTCAGATCGGACCCGGGCATTGTCAGATCGGACCCGGGCATTGTCAGATCGGACCCGGCCTGCCCGGGCATTGTCAGATCGGACCCGGGCATTGTCAGATCGGACCCAGCCTGCCCGGGCATTGTCAGATCGGACCCGGCCTGCACGGGCATTGTCAGATCGGACCCGGCCTGCACGGGCATTGTCAGATCGGACCCGGCCTGCACGGGCATTGTCAGATCGGACCCGGCCTGCACGGGCATTGTCAGATCGGACCCGGCCTGCACGGGCATTGTCAGATCGGACCCGGCCTGCACGGGCATTGTCAGATCGGACCCGGCCTGCACGGGCATTGTCAGATCGGACCCGGCCTGCACGGGCATTGTCAGATCGGACCCGGCCTGCACGGGCATTGTCAGATCGGACCCGGCCTGCACGGGCATTGTCAGATCGGACCCGGCCTGCACGGGCATTGTCAGATCGGACCCGGCCTGCACGGGCATTGTCAGATCGGACCCGGCCTGCACGGGCATTGTCAGATCGGACCCGGCCTGCACGGGCATTGTCAGATCGGACCCGGCCTGCACGGGCATTGTCAGATCGGACCCGGCCTGCACGGGCATTGTCAGATCGGACCCGGCCTGCCCGGGCATTGTCAGATCGGACCCGGCCTGCCCGGGCATTGTCAGATCGGACCCAGCCTGATTGGATGCACTGTTCAGCTGACAAGTTTACACAATGCTCCTTCATTTGAAGTTTGTGAAGCCCAGTAGTGCCAATACGGCTGCCCACAGGTCCAATTTTGGCCAATTCAGCAAGAATTAAAAATGATCCGATTATGGCTGCCTCTAGCCCACTTCATTCTGTGTCATCTGAGTGTAGACTCTCTAGCTATATCCCGGATAGGAAAGATGACCCCCAATGAACAGACCCAATGACTGGTATACTCACGCCATGTTGATGCCGATGCCTGGGGCTGCCAGCGTTGCTGGGTGCTGCTGCCTCGACCTGGCCTGGGGAGGGGATGCCGCTGGCCGCCGCTATACAGCCATGGTGGCCGCTTCGATCGTCGCTCTTGGACTGCTAGAACCTGGCACGAGAACAACCAAATCAAGAAAACAAAACCGCTTCTATGATGTGATGCTGCCGGCACACTCCCTACGTTACTTCATTCATTCCACCTGCAGACTGACGTGGCGGAAGGACGGCACCTCACATATATAGGACCGTAGTGCTGTAAATCGTATCCCTCCGCCTGTTTGTCTAGTGCTTTATTCTTCCGCCTGACATTCTTTACATGTGTAGTATGTGTGGTGACATGTTACTGGTTAGGAATGTCTGTTATTGGACTGGGAATTGCAGCTTAATTATGTAGACATGTTCACCAAGGCGGATTTTTAGTTTTTTGGGTTAGATGATGCCACGTGGTTGTGGGGTAGCACGGTTGGGATTAATGTGTGGGATGTACCATGTAGGGAGGGGGAGTAGGCGCAGAGCAGACGGCTTGTTTCTTCAGCTGATGTGGTGTAGATACAGCTGCTGTTATCAACGTAGGTGTTACCTGCAGATCTACCATATGCATCCTTCAACGGCGTGCACACTCCCTGCCATGTGGTTGATTAACCCTTTTCTATATAGCTTCTACCTGACATGTGGAAGATTAATCTTTTCCTATATAGCTTCTACCTGACATGTGGAGTAATAACCCTTTCTTATATAGCTTCTACCTGACATGTGGAGGATTTAACCCCTTTCCTATATACACTATATTGTCAAAAGTATTGGGGCACCTGCCTTTATACTCACATGAACTTTAATGGCATCCCAGTCTTAGTCCGTAGGGTTCAATATTGAGTTGGCCCTCCCTTTGCCGTTATAACAGCTTCAAATCTTCTGGGGAGGCGTCAACAAGGTTTAGGAGCGTGTCTATGGGAATGTTTGACCATTCTTCCAGAAGCGCATTTGTGAGGTCGGGTACTGATGTTGGAGGAGAAGGCCGGGCTCGCAGTCTCCGCTCTAATTGATCCCATGGGTGTTCTATCGGGTTGAGGTCAGGACTCTGCAGGCCAGTCAAGTTCCTCCACCCCAAACTCGCTCATCCATGTCTTTATGGACCTTTCTTTGTGCACTGGTGCAGTCATGTTGGAACAGGAAGGGGCCATCCCCAAACTGTTCCTACAAAGTTGGGAGCATGAAATTGTCCAAAATATCTTGGTATGCTGATGCCTCAAGAGTTCCCTTCACTGGAACTAAGGGGCCAAGCCCAACCCCTGAAAAACAACCCCACACCATAATCCCCCCTCCACCAAATTTTTCACTTGGCACAATGCAGTGAGGCAAGTACCGTTCTCCTGGCAACCGCCAAACCCAGACACGTCCATCGGATTGCCAGACAGAGAAGCGTGATTCATCACTCCAGAGAACAGGTCTCCACTTCTCTAGAGTCCAGTGGTGGCGTGCTTTACACCACTGCATCCAACGCTTTGCATTGCACTTGGTGATGCAAGGCTTGGATGCAGCTGCTCAACCATGGAAACCCATTCCAAGAAGCTCTCTACGCACTTTAGTTGTTGTGCCAATCTGAAGACCACACGAAGTTTGGAGGTCTGTAGTTATTGACTCTGCAGACAGTTGGCGACTTCTGCGCACTGTCCGCTTGCGCTGACCCCGCTCTGTCATTTTACGTGGCCTACCACTTTGTGGCTGAGTTGCGGTTGTTCCCAATTGCTTCCACTTTGTTATAATACCACTAACAGTTGACGGTGGAATATTTAGTAGCAAGGAAATATCACGGAACACCTGAATCCAATGATTTTTCCCCTGGGGGGCCAAAATTCAGGGCCAGCTTTAGGTGTGCAGAAAATTACTATCACCCTCCCAAACTATGTACCACCAACCAGACATTGCAACTCCCAAATCTTTCCACCGCACCTGGGCACAAGCACCATGCTTCCCCTGATTTTACAGCAAGATTCAGCACTGTAAAAGTACCTCCCACCCTACCAAACTAAGCTAATTTCTAGTACACCAGATGGGACAAGAAAAGGGGACCAGATGAACCTGGTAATCAGTTTTGTATGCTTCATGGGATTTTTTGAGTGGCTCAAGTTAACTACTACAAGTGCCTGCTATTAATTGTAGAATGTCATGTGATTTATCCTTAGTGTGTGTTACAATGGGACCTCTGTGGTACACATTGGCATTTTTCCTCAGTTAGGCAATGCAACAATGTTGCGTGATTAATTGCTAAATAGGCTGCTGTCCTGCTTGCAACATAGGGATCCCATTTTACTACAGTTTAGTGTCGAATCACCAATCTTCTGCAATCAAATAAGAGCAGCCATACTCAAACAGGGTTCCTCCAGAGGCTGCTAGAGGTTTCTTGAGCTGTGTGGCTGATTCACCTCTCATCTGATGGTGCCTGCATAGTTCCTGGACCACCACCACTTAGCCAAGCCAGCAACAAGTCACCCATTATGTTTTAGCTGTTTGTAAAGATGGCGTTCTGGCCACCACTGTAAGGGTTGTATTCTTCCTACTGACCATCATTGTAAGGGTTGTATTCTTCATATTGGCCATCGCTGTAAGGGTTTTATTCTTCCTACTGACCATCATTCTAAGGGTTGTATTCTTCCTACTGACCATCATTCTAAGGGTTGTATTCTTCCTATTGACCACCACTGTAAGGGCTGTGTTCTTCCTACTGACCATCATTTTAAGGGTTGCATTCTTCCTGCTGACCATCATTCTAAGGGTTATATTCTTCCTGCTGACCATAATTCTAAGGGTTGCATTCATCATATTGGCCACCACTGTAAGGACTGTATTCTTCCTACTGACCATCATTCTAAGGGTTGTATTGTTCCTACTGACCATCATTGGAAGGGTTATATTCTTCCTACTGACCATCATTCTAAGGGTTACATAGTTACATAGTATTTGAGGTTGAATAAAGACATTAGTCCATCAAGTCCAACCTATTAGGATCTCATTAATTCTAAGGGTTGTATTCTTCTTATTGGCCACCACTGTAAGGGCTGTATTCTTTCTACTGACCATAATTCTAAGGGTTGTATTGTTCCTGCTGACCATCATTCTAAGGGTTGTATTCGTCCTGCTGACCATCATTCTAAGGGTTGTACTCCTCCTATTGGCCACCATTGTAAGGGCTGTATTCTTCCTACTGACCATCATTCTAAGGGTTGTACTCTTCCTATTGCGGTCATCCGAGGGCCCAAAGCTAGGGGGCCAACTGACAGGGGTGCACTGCGCTGCAGTGGCATATCGCAGGCCGGGCAGCACGGAGGCTCTGGGGCTGTCCGTCTGCTGGGCTGCTGCTGTCCTCCCACTTTCAGTGCCATAGCTGGGAGCGCTGCAGGGGGCCCATACATTGGCTGCAATGTATATGCCTGAATACAATGCAGGCTGTATACAGGACACACCGCTGGATCACCCCTCTCCTGGCGCAGGCACTTTCTGTCATATGCCCCGCCCCCTTTAGACGGTGTGGCCGATGGCGTCCCTCTCCTGGCGCGGGCACTGGGTGTCACATACCTTGCCCCCTTCAGACTGTGTGGCCGATGGTGTCCCTCTCCTGGCGCGGGCACTGTGTCACATGCCCCGCCCCCTTCAGACAGTGTGGCCGATGGTGTCCCTCTCCTAGCGCGGGCACTGTGTGTCACATGCCCTGCCCCCTTCAGACTGTGTGACCAATAGTGTCAGGCTCTGGCAGCATTAAAGTGTACAAGGTAAGTCACAGTTGGGGAGAGGGGAAGGGGAGCACCCAGAAACTGCAAACATTGTGCTGTTATTTGGTTTAATTAGAGAAATGGATTATAATAGAGAACATTACACTGTAATGTTCCCTATTATAACTTATTTCTCTATCCCGGAGAGTGTAAGCTCCTTTGGTGCAGAGACCGCCGGAGGGGTTGGGGTCCAGTGTCTTCCTATTGACCACCCCTGTAAGAGCTGTATTCTTCCTACTGACCATCATTGTAAGGGTTGTATGCTTCCTATTGGCCACCACTGTAAGGGCTGTATTCTTCCTACTGACCATCATTGTAAGGGTCGTATTCTTCCTATTGGCCACCACTGTAAGGGCTGTATTCTTCCTACTGACCATCATTGTAAGGGTCGTATTCTTCCTATTGGCCACCACTGTAAGGGCTGTATTCTTCCTACTGACCATCATTGTAAGGGTTGTATTCTTCCTATTGGCCACCACTGTAAGTGTTGTATTCTTCCTGCTGACCATCATTCTAAGGGTTGTATTCTTCCTATTGGCCACCAATGTAAGGGCTGTATTCTTTCTACTGACCACCAAAATAGGGGTTGTATTCTTCCTACAGACCACCAATATAAGGGTTGTATTCTTCTTACTGACCACCACTGTAAGGGTTGTAGTCTTCCTACTTCCTTCTAACCACCACTGTAAGGGTTGTAGTCTTCCTACTGACCATCACTCTAAGGGCCTGTTCACGTGAGTTTCAGGTCCTGATCAGGTGCGGATCTGCAGACGCGGTGCTATGTGTTTTTGCCGCATTTTTAATGCATTCCAGTTAAAAAAAATATTTTTATTTTTTTTGCCGGAGTGGGGCTGTCAATATGTTAGCTGCAGTGCAGTACGTTTTCGACGCGTTTTGCGTTTCTGGACCGTTTCCTGACCGGACAAAATGTGACATGCAGTATTTTTTCAGTCGTAACATGAACAGACTGCGCACGTCTGTGAACTGTAGCCCATAAAACACATAGGGATACATTGGGATGCATTTTTAGTGCAGGAGCGTACGGATCAGGTCAGCACATAAAACGGACGTCGTGTGAACAGGCCCTTAGGGTTGTATTCTTCCCATTGACCACCAATATAAAGGGTTGTATTCTTCTAACTGACCACCACTGTACGGTTTGTATTCTTCCTACTAACAACACATCAGGACCTGCTGCCATGTCTCCCTATATCTTCCTGAGGATGTGGCCATGGTAGAGCCGCGAAAGCATAGACAGTGTACCATTCTTGCACTTCATGGCCAATAAGAGTTGATGGCATTACAAGAGA